AACCATATACCACTTTTCTTTTTCTGATGTCCCTCTGTCATGCTATCTGGGAGGCACAGAGTGGGATGACCTAAAATTGGAGAAAGAGGTTAATTGAAAGGAGGCTTGTCTGAGCCTAATGTAGCCAGCCTTTGGAGAGAGTGCTCTGAAATGGGGGTGGAGGCTAGAGGACCAATAAATGTTTTCATGCTTTGCCGTATACCAGGTCTGCATATTACTCTGTCCAGATTGTGAAGAGAATGTTTAATTGTAAAGAAGGAACAACAGAGGTATGTGTTGAATCTGGGGGACTGAGAGTCTATTATTCTCTCTATGATATGTGGTGTTACATAACCTTCCTGAATACTGTCACTTCATTTGCTGCCTCTCTTGTTTGTGTTGGGCTGAAGAAAAAGCAAGTTGTGTCTCTAAAGTAGAGTTAGATGCTAGAAAATTTGCTTCTACTTTTCTTGTGATTCTACCTTTACAAGAAGAGAAAAAAGTAGATCCTGGATGCGTCATCCTTCCATTCTATTAACATGTTTATTTCAGTGTTGTTTACATGCAAAATGACTCTTCACTACAAAAATAATATACTTAAGAAACACCTAAATATTCGGAGTAAAATATGAGAGTATCTGTTTACCACCTTGATTCCTTTCTCACTTAACTGTCTTCTGTAAATGCCTCTTTGTATCAATTACAACTGGGTTTAGATGACTTCTGAACCACAAATATGTCCTTGTCACCTGTCTTGCACATCACGTCGTTGTCTCTGGGTTTTGATCTCCCTAGATTTATCTTATGTTTTTTCTATATTTAGTGAGCCTTAAAATTTCTGGCTCACAAAGTTTAGAATGCAGAATTTCTTATCTAGCAATACTTAAACAACAGAGCAATGCTACAGATTTATTTTGTTTTTCAGTAATTTTTATGTTGTTTCATGGGATTTTGAGTAGGCAGGATGGTGGTTGCAAATGTTCTACATTTGATCTAATCTTTTTATATAAATTTAGAGATGTGGTTTAGACTGCTTAAATAATTTGACTATAACTGGATGGCTCCTTGAATAGTGTCCGTTAAAAGTATTTAGTAAAAGTTTGCTGATGAATGGTTATGAGTGAAGCCAAGACTAGAATTGGGTCTTCCAAGCCTTGGTTCTGTACTCTTTCCATGACAGCAAGACAGCATACCAATTCCAAATTTTCTTTTTTTTGAAGATGGAGTCTCGCTCTGTACTCTGGGCTGGAGTGCAGTGTTGCGTTCTTGGTTCACTGACACCTCACCTTCGAGGTCCTGGTTTAAGCAATTCTCCTGCCTCCACCTCTGGAGTAGCTGGGATTACAGGAACACGCCAGCATACCTAGCTTATTTTTGTATATTTAGTAGAGACAGGGTTTCACCATGTTGGCCAGGCTAGTCTTGAACACCTGACTACATAATCCGCCCACCTCAGCGTCCCGAAGTGCTGGGATTACAGACGTGAGCCACTGCATTCAGCCCCAAGTTTTCTATAAATTATGACTTTTCTGGGTTGGACGCAGTGTTATTTGGGAGGTAGATACTTAAAACATAAGATTATAGTTTAAGTAGCTATGTGAATGAGCATAGACTTGCAATAACATAGCCTAAAGAAACCTGCCCAGGAGAAATTGGCCTCTAGACAAATAAGTTTGTTAATAGAAAATGATAATGCAGTTCGAAGCTTCTGTGTAAACTCTTTGCTGTCTGTTTTTTTTTTTTCCTGACACTTTGAACATGAGGATAATGCTAATCATTCTGTCTTCTATTACTGAGTTGTTTGAACCTATAAACCTGACTTTGCACAAATAAAGCAAATGAGCCAAAGGCAAGATTCTGATGACCTTCACAGCAGATTTTTGTGTTCAATAAACTGCTGAAGGAAATCCATAAATTTGAAATTATTTGGGGTTATCTGTAGACTTGAGCTAAACTCCAAGAGCCTATGATTGATAAATGCTTTCATTCATTCAAAAAGTATTTATTGAGCATCTACTGTATGCCAGGACTTAGGTACATGGAATCCTAGAAATACAGTAGTCAACAAAATAGACATGGTCCTCACAAGGCTTTCCATTTAATATATGGAAGGGGGACATCCAACTAATAATTATATAGGCGGACATTTTGTTCTAATTCTATTAAGTGATGAGTTGAGAAGAGTATTTTATAAGAATTTAGTGTCTTCATGCAATAGAAGAAAATTTAGTGTGGCTGGAGAGATAGGAGCTGGGTCACATATTTTCCTAGGGTACCATGCCATGTGTCCCTTGCCAGCAGTGCCTAGAGGAATCTGTAGACATGCTTATGGTGAGGAAAATGTTATTAAGGTATGTAGGTTTGAAGCTGAGTATATTCTTCCCTGCAGAATTTTTTCTTTCAAAGCAGGAGGATCAATTTTCAAAGAACAATGGGTGACACCAGCACTATTTGTATTCATCCAGAAGCCCAGCTAAGCAGATAAGGCTGTCTGTGCTGTTGGATGCCTGAATTATATCTTCCAGGATTTCACTAAGCAGAATTTTCTTTATCCCAAGTGTTTTTTTAAATACACAGTGTTGCTCACAGTAACTTGGTAATCTATACCAGATTTAATTTATTCTGTTTTGGCACTAATCACAGACTGAATTATTTACATGGGAATAATTTTAAAATCTGTGTTTTGCACTTTCCAGACAAAATTAGAATGATAGTATGTAAACGGCACGAGGAAAGGAAATCTCTTCCAAGTTGGATCCTCCTGTGAGTTTAAATGTGGAAAGCAGATGCTATTTTTTGTCCTCTTTTAAAAAAGTAAACTTAATTTTAGAATCATTTCAGATGTCAGAAAAATTGCGAAGGCAGTACAGAACGTTCTGTATCCTACGCCAGTTTCCCTAGTTTTAACTTCTTATGTTTGTCACAGTTGATGAACAAATGTTGCTAAGTATTATTAATTAGAGTCCATCCTGTATTTTCATTTCCTTAGTTTTTCCTTAATGTTCGTTTTCTGCATCAGGATAACATCTAGGACACCATGTTAATTCAGTCATTACATGTTTTCAGGCTTCTTTTGGTTGTGGCCATTTCTCAGTCTTTCCCTGTTTTTGATGGCTTGAGAGTGTTGAGGAATGCTGGTCAGGTATTTTGTAGGGTGCTCCTTGATTGGAATTAGCTTGATGCTTTTCTCATGATTAGACCAGGGTTATGGGTTTTGGAGAGCAAGGTCACAGAGGTAAAATGCTATTCTCACTACATCATATTAATCAACATGACTCATCACTGATTCATTTGGAACACCTGGATGAGGCAGTGTCGGTCAGGTTTCTCCACTGTAAAGTTACTTCCCTCTCCCTCCACCCTTTCATACTTTACTCTTTGGGAAGAAGTCACCTTCTCCTTTAGGGTGGAATATCTGCATAAACTTTTTGGAATTCTTCTGTACAAGAGTTTTCTCTTCTCCCCCATTTATTTATTTCAATTATTCATTTATATTGCTGTGGACTCATGGATATTTATTTTAACTTTGAGTTATAATTGAATGCTATTTTATTTTGCTATTCAAATTGTTCCAGCTTTGGCCTTTGGGAGCTCTTTCAGTTGGTTTTTGTGTCCCTTTGACATGTACCATCCTCGTGGGATTTTTGGAATACTTTTTTGTTGTTGCTGGCTTTCTGACAGAGCAAGATCCTTCAGGCTCATCTTGTATATTTCCTGACCTGGTTCTAGGTACTTATTTTTTTTTAAATAATTATTATTTTTTTTGAGACAGAGTCTGGCTCTGTCACCCAGGCTGGAGTGCAGTGGCATGATCACAGCTCACTGCAACCTCTGCCTCCTGAGTTCATGGAATTCTTCTGCCTCAGCCTCCTGAGTAGCTGGGTTTACAGGTGACTGGCATGCTCAGCTAATTTTTTGTATTTTTAGTAGAGATGGGATTTCACCATCTTGGCCAGGATGGTCTTGAACTCCTGACCTCAAGTGATCCACCTGCTTTGGCTTCCCAAAGTGCTGTGATTATTGTGGCATGAGCCACAATAATCTGTGTGTTTTTTTTTAAACATAAGAAATACTGTGATTATTATAACTATTGACAACTTGACGTGTTGTAAACCTTAAGGTTAAAAAAACCCCAAAAATCAAAGTCTGAAATATCTGAACTGGGGAAATTATTCTACTATTTGGTCTTCATGTTTTCCTTGACCTTGGGCCATCCTGGTGGAAGGGCTAAGTTTGTGAATTTATGTTTTGGGTGCTATCCTGAGGATGACAGGAAGAGTCCAGATCAGCAAACCTTTCCAGTAAAGGCCCAGATAGTAAATATTTTCCACTTTGCAGTCCCGAAGCTCCCTGATGCAGCTACTAGACTCTGTGTTTGTGGTGTGAAAGCGGCCATAGACAATATGCAAATGAACTGGGTGGCTGTCTTCCACTGTTTCCTCTTTTAAAAGTGCAAACTCTGTTTCTAAAAGTGGATGGTGGCCTGAATTTGGTCTGTGGGCTGCAGTTTACCTGTCCTGTGTTAAAGGAACTGTCTGGGCAGATGTGAGTTCAAGTCTTGTCATTTGCTGACTGGGTGTTAAGCAAGTAATTTAACTTCTAACAGCTCCAACATTCTTCAGCTTAATAATGGGCATAATAACAGTATTAATGTTTGTCCCTTATAAAGTTTAGGGTTTAAATGATATAAGTAAAGCACTTAGCCCCATGTCTAGCATGTGTCTATTACCCATATTTGGGTGATTACATCGTTTCGTGTTAAAAGAGGACTCCTGGAGAGGAAACTAGGTGATATTAGCCATTGATTATGTAGGGACAAGGGATATGAACAGTGACCATCCAAAGTCTGTCCCAGAATGTGTATCCACCCTAGCTATTATTATTAGAATCATCTCTGTTAGCTGCTAATGCCTCTAATTTCCTGCAAATGTTCTGTCCTCCTGCTTCCTATGTCAGGACCTGGACTGGGCTTGCCTAATGCTCTGAAATTACCCTTTCTTCTTTTTTCTCTTTGATCTCAGAAAATGATCTGATCTGATGAGTCGAAGACCATGTTACTTGATCTGGTTCAGCTTAGATACTTCATGTTAAAATCTGGTGAGTTTCCCCTTTAAGAGTTGGCAGTTTGCAATTAAATGTGATGCTCTACACATGTTCGGATGTTACAATAATAATTTTTTCTTTCCTCTCTGCATGTACTGAACTTCCTAGCTCTTCTGCTGAGATTTGTGATTTGCCATTTGCTTTGACCTCCGGTTACTGTGAGCCTTTTCGTCTTTACCTCGTGTGCCTGATTACCTTGTTCTGCCTTAGCTCCTTCACCTAATTACTCTCACTGGGAAGATTCTGTTTTTCCAGAAGATGTAGGCTTTTTGGCTGCAGTTAGTTATCCTTCTTTCCCTTGGTGTACAGAAGGGGAACAGAGGACTGGTGTAAAGAGGAAGGCGTGGCCGTTGCAGTGTTTGTCAGTGTGGTCTTGACCTTGTGAAAGAATGAGCTGGGTCCTCATTAACATGCAGGTTTCTGGGTAGCCCTGGGCACACTGACTTAGATTCCCTGGTGGCAATGCCTAGGAATCAGCAGTCCTCAAATACTCCTGATGATTCTAATGTGCTCTAAAGTTTAAGAACTACAGCAATAAAGAATGTCTGAAAAGGGAGTATAAATTACAAGAAGCAATCTGGCATTCATTATATTTTGTAGAGAACTCTCCTTGAGATCAGAGATCTGTCTTCTGTGCCAGAAGCCACTGCTAAAGTTCTGACCTAAGTGAGTTTTGAAGATACTTTCTGATTGCTTTCACTCTTCTCTTTCCTTGAATATCTGTTGCAAAGATGTACAAACAGGTCCTCTTACTGGACAGGGAGGAAGTATTTGGAGGTGAATTTTGGTGGAGGCTTTGAAGGGTGGGAGACAAGGTGGCTGGGGCCTTGTTTAAAAAAATTCTTCAACGTTGGGGTAATTGAGGATGATAGGAAGTCAAAGGAAGAGAAGTGAGGTATGGGAAAAGTCAAGAGGGAAAGGAGGGTGGAGTTTATGGAGGGATGTAGATGTATTTTAGCCTATAAACAGCATGTGCTGCAAGGGATTGAAGGACAAGGTTGAATCACCCTAAGGAAAATTTCTCTAGCAGGACTCAGAAGGAGAACAGGGAATTATTGAGAGTTTTATTTAAGGTATACATTGGTTTTGTAATCCATACTTGCCTAGATTTTCTTTCCATGTATTTATAGAAAGACAGTTATTTTGAGGGAGGAATTTCAAATGCCTTAGTGGTGTGAACAGCAGAGACTTCCAAAGATCCTAGTTTTCAATTTGAACAGCATCTGTGTTCGTGTTTAATGATATTTCTTTATCACACATGTCATGAGCGCCTACTTGATGTGTACCAAGCTAGGCACCATTGGTGAGACACAAAAGCATAACCTTGCATTTTCAAGGAGGTTTTCTTCTTGGAGGGCAACCAAGAAGGCACATATGAACAGCGAAGTATTAGTAAAGCCTCTGCAATTGTTAAATGTCTCATTCTTTTCATGAGCAACTCAAAGGAGATGGCTTCTGAAGTGTGATGTCAGGGATAGGCCTCAATGGTTAAGACAAAGTAAGGGAAAAGGAACTGAGCATTTTATATGTGCATGTTGTCAGCCAGTGACAAGGGGGTGAAAATATGCATGGTGGGTGTGAGGAAGGGCAAGTTGCTCCATCTGTTCCACTGTGGGTTGTTTCTGGGGCGCAGTGGGAGATTACATGAAACATCAGCTTCGGGTAGATTATTAAAAGGGCCTCAAGAGCCAGACTCTAGGTTCAGTGGGAGGTCATACTGTAAGACTTTTTTTTTTTTTTTAAGAGAGTCTCTGTTGCCCAGGCTAGAGTGCAGTGACACAATCATGGCTTACTGCAACCTTTGACCTGGGCTCAGGTGATCCTGCATCATCCTCCTGAGTAGCTGGGACTAGAGGTATATACAACCATGCCCAGAAAAGTTTTTTTTTTTTTTTTTTGGTAGAGATAGAATTTTGCCATGTTGCCCAGCCTGGTCTCTAACTCCTGAGCTCAAGCAATCCGCCTATCTTGGCCTCCCAAAGTGCTGGGATTACAGGCATAAGCCACTGTGCCCAACCATAGCTATGAGATTTTGAACAGGGAGGTGATATGCTAAGAATTATAATTTAGAAACACTTAGTGGGTATATTTTACTAGAAGGAGTGAAGTTGGGACTTGCTAGAGGGAGTGAGACACGTGAAGAAGGTCTTTTGATAATACCAGCATGGTAAGATCCAGACAAAGGTGAACACAGTGGGAATGTAGAGGAGGGATGGGTTAAAAGATGTTGCAGAAGAATATCCCACATGCCTTATTTCCTCAATGATTCTGTGAGCGAGTATTTTTATCCCTGTCTGTAAGATGAGGAAAGTGAGGCACAGAGAAGTTAAAGTACATATCCAAAGACATATAACAGGTAAGTGACAGGTATACTGCTGTGCCTTCCAATGTGGTAGCCACTAGCTATGTGAGACTACGTAGAGTTAATTATAATGAAATATTTAAAAATTAGATACTGAGATATCTGTCCCATTTCATGTGTTCTTTAGCCACATGTGGCTATTACGTTAGATGGTGTAGAAAATATCTGTTGTTGCAGAATGTTCAATTGAACAGATTTTGAACCTATGCTTTCTAACTCTTGAGTGAATGTTCTTTTTTTTTTTTTGAGACGGATTTTTGCTCTTGTTTACCCAGGCTGGAGGGCAATGGTGCGATCTCAGCTGACTGCAACCTCCGCCTCCTGGGTTCAGGCAATTCTCCTGCCTCAGCCTCCTGAGTAGCTGGGATTACAGGCACGCACCACTATGCCCAGCTAATTTTTGTATTTTTAGTAGAGACAGGGTTTCACCATGTTGACCAGGATGGTCTCGATCTCTTGACCTCTTGATCCACCCGCCTCGGCCTCCCAAAGTGCTGGGATTACAGGTGTGAGCCACTGCGCCCGGCTGAGTGAATGTTCTTAATGGACTCCACCACTGATATTAACAAGAAACCTCCCTAGTTTCTCACTAGATTGCTAGGCCAAAGAAGAGCAGCAGGGAGGACTTAGAGCATTTTAATGGTTTATCAATATTATTAAAGAAACTTATTAAAAGCCCCTATTCTAAGTTCTTTTCAGTGAGTTAGGTTCATTTAAATTACATCAGGAGAAAACAAGCTAATATTAATTCAGAACAATATACCTCTACAATGAAAACTATCATTTTAGTCTTCTAGGAGGTACAGATTGCAATCTGTTTATAGTCGAGGCCGTACTTCTAATTTGAAGATTCTATCTGGCACATTTTCAGTTTGGGAAAATAGCATAATCATGGTCGTAAATCCTTTTCTCTCTCAGGTTCCTCTCTAAGAGGCTCTTCAGTTCACTTTTGAATGGACTACAAAAGCTTACTGAAAAGATGGATGTCTTCCTTGTCTGAGCACAATATTATTAAAGCAAGGACGCCGATGAGATTGCTAAGTGATACAGGATCTGGGATGATGTTAAACTGCAGAGACATTTATTTCCTTATTTCAGATGAAAATGGAGAATCTCACTGTTATTAGGGGGAGCTGGCATATAATTCTTTAGCTGTTAGGACAGTGATCTTACATTTCCTGTAACCATCAGCATTTAGCCAAAATGTTTTACCATCTTGCAACATTAGGTGTACGGAGGCTGCACCTTCCTTTAAGAGGGTGGCTGGAGGGCCTTATCAGAATGCTCAATTTGTGAGTTGTTTCACTAGGTGATTTTGCGCCATCTCCTCTGGTTTTCATGTGCAAGGATATTAAGCCTGTGATAATATTGTGAACCCCTCAACAGCACTTTCCCCTAATTTCCTCAAGGCAATAATGCAGAATATAGCACTTCATAGGCCTGTACTATGCAAGACTGGCTTCTCTATTCCTCTTGCTTCCCTTCAGTGATCTGAGTATGCTTTTCTGGCAGGTGATTCTTTATGTCACTAGGTAGTAGTTATCATAAAGCCTATTAAGGGGTGCAAAGTGGAAGAATGCTGGCTCCCTACTCTTAGGAAGCTTTAAAAAAATCCTGAAAACAAACCTTTGTCTTTCTTTTCCCCCAGGTTCAGCTGATTATAGCCAAGTTTAAAGGTCACATTGTAGTATAACCTGGTTTGGGTCCTGGGTTATCGTTTATATTTATCAAGCATTCACTTGTTGGTGAAAGTGAATTGTGCCCACATACAACCGGCCATTCTTTTCTCTTGGTTTGTTTCTGAATTATTCCACTTTCCTCAAATCCCCCCCAAACACAAATTTATTCGTGCTTCTTTTTCACATTGGAAGGAAGGCCCCAGACTCAGGATGAAGATGGTATAGGGATTTCCCATTTTAGGCATTTCAGTGCCTAAAACTACCGTTTTTATTAGTAAGCCATTGTTCAGAAATCTTGCAATGGATCCTATGGTATTTTCTATCCTGTACTTGTTAAATTGACCTACATGAACACTTGTAGTTTTTCATCATGAAAAATTTTAACCATTTTTCATTTTTTATTACCTGACAATATTAAGGAACAAAATGCCTCATTTGACCCTAAACAATTCGTTTTGGTTTCGATAGCATGTGAATTCAGGTGCAGAATTACATTCTTTCTTGGTTGCTGATTAAAAAGGCAGACCTGGAAGATAGTCTTCTGTTCTGAGTAGTACTAGGTATGTAGAATTCTTTTCTGACACAGGGTCTTTCACTGTTAACCAGGCTGGAGTGTAGTGGTATGATCTTGGCTCACTTCAACCTCCACCTCCAGATTCAAGTCATTCTCCTGCCTCAGCCTTCTGAGTAGCTGGGACTACAGGTGCCTGCCACCATGCCTAGCTAAATTTAGTATTTTTAGTAGGGATGAGGTTTCACCATGTTCTCCAGGCTGGTCTCAAACACCTGACCTTGTGATCAGCCCACTTCACCTCCCCGTGTGCTGGGATTACAGGCGTGAGCCACTGCGCCCAACCTAGGATCCTTTTTGGATTGTCGGGTTATTCACATTACCGATCAAGATGCCATGCAGTGGTAACTGCTCTTACCAAAACCAGACTGCCATCCTGGAAAGGAAAATAGCTCATGATTGTGTGTGAACTCAGATTTAGGGAGAATAAAATTGGGAAACCAAGAGATACTTTATTGTTACTTAAAACAGTTTCCTTTTTTTTTTTTTTTTTTTTTTAACTTCCTCAGTGAGAGTTTAATTATAATTTTGGTTTTTTAAAAAATAACTTCAACTTTTATTTTAGATTTAGGGAATGCATGTGCTGGTTTGTTACATGGGTATAATGTGTCATGCTGAGGTTTGGGGTATGAATGATTCTGTCATCCAGGCAGTGCTCACAGTACCCAATAGGTAGCATTTCAGCTCTCGCCCTCCTCCCTCCCTCCCACCTCTAGTAGGCCCACTGTCTATTGTTCCTGTCTTTACACCCATATGTACCCAACGTTTGGCCCCCAATAATAAGTGAGAGAGTACATGTTGTATTAGGTTTCTGTTCCTGTGTTAATTTGCTTAGGATAATGGCCTCCAGCAGCCTCTGTGTGCATCCATGTTGCTGCAGAGGACGTAATTTAATTTTTGATAAATACACGGTGTACATATTCCACATTTTCTCTATCCAGTCCAACATTGATAGGCACTTAGTTTGTTTCCCTGGCTTTTCTAGTGTGAATGGTGCTGAAATGAACAACAGAATGTATGTGTCTTTTTCTGTAGAATGATTTATTTTCTTTTG